GTGGCATGACGGTCGGTGGGGGCGTGGCCACGCCGAGGCGGGGGGCGGGGGCAGGCGCCGGTCCGCGGGTCGGATTGGCGTATCCAGTGCTCTTCAGGAATGACACGTGTGTCCTGCGCGTGCGCTCTGTGCTCCAGCTGGTGCGCACCGCTTCCTTCCTGGGGTTCTGCTGCCACCGTTTGGAGCCCGGTTAATTGTATTTCTTGCTTTTTTTTATGTTGTCGGACGTGGGGCTTGAACTCTGGGCCTGGGCGCGGTCCCTGCTCTTCAGCTCAGAGCCACAGCGCCACTTCCGGTTTCTGGTGGTTCATTGGAGATAAGAGTCTCACGGTCTTTCCTGCCCGGGCTGGCTTTGAACCGCCATCCTCAGGTCTCAGCCTCCTGACAGCGTGAGCCCCGGCTCTTAAAGGACGGAGTGCTCCTCCAGAGACTCCGCCGCCCGCCTGTCCTTCATTCTGGACCATGAAGCCTTTCCTGGACCGAGCACGCCGATGCCCCGGTGACACACACACAGGACATGCACATAGATTCACACACACACAGGACATGCACATAGACTCACACACACACAGGACATGCATAGACTCACACACACAGGACATGCACATAGACTCACACACACACAGGACATGCACATAGACTCACACACACACAGGACATGCACATAGACTCACACACACACACAGGACATGTACATAGACTCACACGCACAGGACATGTACATAGACTCACACACACACAGGACATGCACATAGACTCACACACACACACAGGGCATGCACATAGAGTCACACACACACACACAGGACATGCACATAGATTCACACACACACAGGACATGCACATAGACTCACACACACACACAGGACATGCACATAGACTCACACACACACAGGACATGCACATAGACTCACACACACACAGGACATGCACAGTCTTGCACACACACATGGACTCACACGTAGACTCACATGCACCGTCTTGCACACACACACACACACACAGGGACTCACACATAGACTCACATGAATAGAGGTGCACATCCCATTAGCTCCTCACGGGGCCTGGGGTCCACATGCTCAGCTCATCCTCATCCCGTTGCTGGCCTCTGCACTGAGGAGCAGGTCTGGGGGCCTGAGGCTGGCGGTGGGGAAGCCAATGCTCCCATTTCTTCCCCCCCCCGCTTCTTGGCCTGCCCCCCACTGGTGGGTGCCCCCGGCGGCTCCGAGCGTGGGAGGTCAGCATGAGCACAAGGGGCTTCTCTGTCCTGCTTTGTCTTCATCAGCTCTCAGCCCTGGCCGCTGAGCCCTGCTGATGGCGGCTGCCTCCTCTTCTCAGCACCAGGAAGGACCGGGTGCCTGGGGAGGTGCGGAAGCTTTGGCTGAAGGCCCTGGGCCTGGGCACCGGCCTGGCGCTGGCCGGGCTTCTGCTCTGCAGCCATCTGGGGACGGACGACAGTGTTGCCGAGGTCCTGGCCCACCGCGGTGAAGTCCTGACAGGAAGGTTCACCGAGGTGCCCTGCTCCGATGACTACGATAGCCACCGCCGGTTCGAAGGTACGGTCTCACGTCCGCGCGGTGGCCCGAGGCGGGCAGCAGGCGAGGCGGAATGTGACATTGCTTTTTGCTGCAGGTGGGGGTTGGGCTGAAGGTTGCTGTGCGGGGGGGGGGGGGGTATGGGCGTGGGCGAGCAGCCCACACGGGCTGGGCCTGCAGTGTTCAGGGCCAGCCTGGGAACCGTCAGGTAGGGTGGCGTCCAGTGGCAGTCCCACCGAGATGTGACAGAACTGGAGGGGTGTGGTGACAGGAACCCGCCCCATGGCAGTGGGGGCTGGCCCCGGACTCAGCTCCTGGGGAGAGGGCCTGGAGCACCACACGCCTGTAATTCTAGCTGCTCAGGAGGCTGAGATCTGAGGGTCATGGTTTGAAGCCAACCCAAACAGGAAAGTCCATCCAGAGTTCAAACCCCAGGACCAGCAAAATTAAAAAGAAAAAAACGTCAGTTCTGCCTGGTGAATCAACCCTCAGGTGTCCACACTGGGTAGGGAGACCCTGTTCTAAGTGCTCAAAGGTGCCACACGAGGGCTCTGGGGTTCCCAGTCTGGGGTCAGCCCAGCCACGGAGCAGCTGCTTGAAACCTGGGGTGCGTAAGGGGGATGAGCACCCCGCATGGGCACGGGCCGCGGCCCCTCTGGGAAGCTGTGGCCCACGCTCCGCCGGGCATGCTGGCCAGGGCACACCCCCACACTCGAGGTCCCAAGAGGCGGGCTCTGGAGGTCACGGTCCCCACTGCCGTCGCCCCACAGGCTGCACCCCCAGGAAGTGTGGCAGAGGTGTCACAGACGTGGTCATCTCCAGGGAGGAGGCAGAGCGCATCCGCAGGTACCACACGTGTGTGCGTCCCGTCCTGGGAAAACGGGGCTGGGCGGGGGACAGCATTTCGTGGAATTGTGTCACGGGCTCTCGAGGACGGAGCTCAGGCTTTCTGCTCACCTGGAGGAGAGGCCCTGGCCTGCGGTGATGTCATTGCTGGGGAATGCTCTGGCAGCCTGGCCTCCTTTCCAAGGATTCACCCCTGCTGAGGCAGAAAGTCACTAGACAGTAGTTCAGCCTCTGCTCTGAACCCTGGGCCCTGGCTGCCGGCTGGCCTCACAAGGCCCTCCACAGCCGCACAAAAGCTCTGGGCGCCCAGTTTTCCTCCCTGAGGTCTTTTTTTCTTTTCCTTTTTTTTTTTTTTTTGGTCTGGTCGTGGGGCCTGAACTCTGGGCCTGGGCGCTGTCCCTCGGCTCTTCAGCTCAAGGCGAGCGCTCTACCACTTGAGCCACAGTGCCACCTCCGGCTTTTTCTGCTTATGTGGTGCTGAGGAATGGAACCCAGTGTCGCTACCACCTCGACCACCAAGGAAGACGCGACACCGAACTCTTCTCTCTGCAGTTTATTCAGGACCTTTGAGCAATCTTCTGACCCCAACCCCGGGGAGAATTCCCCACAGCCTTAAGTACCCGCTGGGTAGCCAACCCTGATACGCCATGTGGGAACCACCAATAGGTTCAGGTGCGCGGAAGCAAGCCAGATTCTTTGCCTTAGCCATATAAGGAGTTGTTTACCACAGAGAGCACTCGCCATCAGCAAGGTGGAGGGTGGAAGCCGGCGCCATCTTCCAGGTGCGGCTGCACGCAGCTCTCTACAACCCAGAGCCTCAGGCATGCAAGGCAAGCGCTCTACCACTGAGCCGCCTTCCCAGCCCTCTTTGAGGTCTTGACAGCAAGGTCCTGCAGGATTGTCTGGCTGGCCATCAGGCTCAGAGCGCGTGTGGTCTTGACTGTGCACGTGCCGCGTGTGCGAAGCCTGCCCGGGCGTCTGCACTCCTCCCCAGCACTCACCCCGACTCTGCCCGTCTGCGAGCCTCCTGAGCACCCGGCCCTCGATCCACCTTAATGTCAGGAAGGGAGCCTGCTGTCCCTGAGCCCAGCACGGCGGGGCGGGGGGCGGGGGGGGGGACACACCACCATCTTGTACCCTCACTTAGCTCTGAAAGTTGAAGCTTTGGTCATTTTTGTTTTCTTCATGAATGTGAACACTAAAATCCGCCTGGATTTACCTTGCTGCTGGATTCTGTTTGCTGTCCTGATTGAGGGTCTGTTTTCCCTGCAGTGTGGCGGAGAAGGGGCTCTCCCTGGGAGGATCTGACGGAGGGGTGAGTGTGGGGGCTCCTGGCCCCAGGGTTTTTTTTTTCTTTTCTTTTTTTGGTCGGTCATGGGTCTTGAACTCTGGGCCTGGGCACTGTCCCTCAGCTCTTCAGCTCAAGGCCAGCACTCTACCACGCACTCTACCACTTGAGCCACTGCACCACTTCCAGTTTTCTGAGTGGTTTATTGGAGATAAGAGCTTCTTGGACCTTCCTGCCCAGGCTGGCTTTGAACCTTGATCCTCAGATCTCAGCCTCCTGAGTAGCTGGGATGACAGGCGTGAGTGCCGGCGCCCTCTCTGGAGGGTCAGGACAAGGTGCTGGATGTTCAGGGTCCCCGAGGGCACCCGTGCCTCCTCGCTGTCTCGGCCTGGCCACAGCCACTGTCCCTGCCACGGCCCAGGGCCCTCCTGGCCACAGCCACTGTCCCTGCCACGGCCCAGGGCCCTCAGACCCTTCCTTGGGGCATCTCAGCCTGCATGGCTTCCCGTCCCACGGGCATTTTAGACACTGCAGGATGGGGGAAGGAGGGAGCTGGTAAGGCTCACTGGGAGCCTCCAGTCTGTGGGGCTGCAGCTCTCTGAGAGACTGCAGGAGCCAGGAAGTTAGGGACAGGGTCACAGAGGGGGCAAGGGGTCGGGGCGAAGAACATCTATGACCTGCCGAGCGCCGGGGCTCACGCCTGCAGTCTCAGCGATTCGGGATGCTCAGGCGCTGTGGCTCAAGTGGTAGAGCTCCAGGCTTGAGCTGAAGAGCTGAGGGACAGCGCCCAGGCCCAGCGCCCAGGCCCAGCGTTCAGGCCCCACAGCCAACAACAACATGAAGGGACTATCTATGATCTCAGGTGTGGGGTGGTCTCCCTGCGCACCACACTGCTTCAGCTCCATGGGCCCTGGGGAAGAGGAGGGCCTTCCATTCCGGGGGTACAAACGGGCCTCCGGCCAAAGGCCAAGGGCAGTCGTGTCTGCTCAGGCAGCCCTGCGCACCACGCTCGCTCACGCAGTGTTGGGAGGCATTTTATGGTGGTGGCTAAATTTTAAAGTGACCATCACCCACTCTCTTCCCTGACAAACATCTTTTCCAGGCATCCATCCTGGATTTGCACTCAGGGGCTCTGTCTTTTGGGAAGCACTTTGTGAATCTGTACCGGTAAGAAGCTGGGGTGCAGGGGCCACGGCAGCATGGCCTGGGACACAGGGCTTTTGAGCCACCGGCCGGGCCCTCCTCTGGGCTCCTGGTCAGGGACAAACTCTCAGGAAGGAGCCGGACTGTGGTCCCCAAGCTTTAGAGGAGTCCCAGGAAACCGTGGCCTGCCAGGGCAGAGGGGTGGGGGAAACAGGCGGGCATCAGCCGTGAATTCCCTCCCTCTCTCCCTTCGTCCTTCCTTCCCTCCTTCTCGCTTCTCTCTTTTCCTCCTGTTCCTCCCTCCCTGCCTCTTCCTGAGGGAACTTGGTGAGGACAGGCTGGTTAGCTTGAGGAGAGGCCAGTAAACCATCTCCTCCACTGCTGCGCCTTGTTTTCTCACAGATACTTTGGGGACAAAGTACAAAGTATCTTCTCTGAAGAAGACTTCCAGTTATACCGGTAAGGAGGAAGGGAGGGAGTAGTGCTGATGGCCTCTGCCACTGGGGGGCTGTCTGTGGGGTGGGGTGCTGTCTGTGGTGTGGGGTG